ATCGTTATTTACATGCAGTAAGCGTCACATCGCAGAGTAATATCTGCCTGTGTAACCCGTGATAACAGGGTCTTCACCCGTAATTGTACGTGTAATTGGTTACATGCACCGTAATTTACCTGCAGCACCGTGTAGTATTCACCCGTAATCACTGGGTCTTCACCCGTAATTTTGCGTGTAATTGGTTACATGCGCCCGTAATTCACCTGCAGTACCGCGTAATATTCACCCGTAATCACTGGGTCTTCACCCGTAAGTTTGCGTGTAATTGGTTACATGCGCCCGTAATTCACCTCCAGCACCGCGTAAAATCCACCCGTAATCACTGGGTCTTCACCCGTAAGTTTGCGTGTAATTGGTTACATGCGCCCGTAATTCACCTCCAGCACCGCGTAAAATCCACCCGTAATCACTGGGTCTTCACCCGTAATTTTGCGTGTAATTGGTTACATGCGCCCGTAATTCACCTCCAGCACCGCGTAAAATCCACCCGTAATCACTGGGTCTTCACCCGTAATTTTGCGTGTAATTGGTTACATCCGCCCGTAATTAACCTCCAGCACCGCGTAAAATCCACCCGTAATCACTGGGTCTTCACCCGTAAATGTTCACCTGTATCCTTGTGCTCAAATTACGGGACCCGTAACGTGTTACGGACCCGTAATTTCTGTCAAATTACGGGTGGATTGACCCAAAATTACGGGTAAAATGACCCCCCTTTTCCCAGAGTGATATTGCCATGTAGCATGGAATGACATCATTTAATGAACAGCATGATATATAATCAATCGTTACATTTGGAATGACATGTATCAAATCTCAGTTGTGGGTATCAACCGTTTCCACATTTGTAACACAACCCCTTATACATTATGTGTGGGACAGGCGGGCATATCTACACCGGCGGTCGCTACCAGGTGAAACTCTGTCTACCCAGGTATTTCAGGGCACCCTCATCCAGTCACCCTAGCCGTCTTCTCAATGATTCACTCGGGTACATCTCAGGAGTGCTCCCACCACCGTCATCCAACGACATGTACATCTGCAGACTTAATGGCGGCTGGAGTCCATTCCTGGTCAGCTCTCATGTCAACATTATCCCAGGCCGTTACTGTTCATCAAATAGCGGCACTCTTACCTTCCACCATCGGTAAAACGTTTTACCTTGACTGGTGGCAATCCTGGAACCTCCGGAAGCGTCAGTGTATACACACATGTGTTACCAATGCTGCCTGCTAAGTTCATGACCTATGTATATATGTATATGTACGACACACCAGCACTAGTAGTACTACATGTACAGGAACTTGATGAACAATGCATAACAGCCATAAGGATATTCATACCATGTTATGAACACATGTGTACACAGTGGCTACTTAGCACAGCCTTTCATAAGCCCATGATGCATAGAGGGTTCAATAATTACGTATGGTCTACTACACCAATCAAACTGGCTGCCTTACGGCAGCATGAATTCAAGGCTTTGCAGCCATTTGCAATGGGCAACCATCCATCCTAGTGGGTCAAGCAACAACACCCATCACACAACAGCCTTTTAATACCATGGCTCGAGATATGTACATGTTGTAGCATGCATATGCATGTGCAGAAGGAGCAGGCATGCATGCCAACTCCATCCCGACACATAGGTCAAACATTAATCATGATGCTAGTTAGCAGTATGTAGCAGGCCCTCAATTATACCGACCATCCCTCTGTACTTGTTTCCATGCCCCAGAAGTCACAACTATGTCTAACCCTAAATGTTGTTCCCCTTCAAGGCTGATGATATCTGCTTTGCACTGACGCCCAGGGTATCACATGCCCAGGGCACAGCATGTCTGCCCTTGTCGTTAGCCAGGATGCCCAGAACAGGCCAGGATACCTGCATATATAGGAAGTAATGAAAGCTTGTCAGGATACAGGAACTGCTGGTGGTTAATTAATGTCCTGTCGTTCCTTACTTTATCAAACATGGTCAAGGGGTAGTCCTTGATGGCGAGTGTCTTGGTAGGCTCACGCAGGGTAAATTTTGCACGGTGGTGCAGCCCCTTCATCTTGCCAATGACCAGGATCTCAATGGTGTCCTCAATGGAAACCGATGCCTGCACCACCAAAGAATTAGTAAAACCGGATCCAACTGAGTAATCAGTTGCAGAAAAGGCCAAATTATATGTTGCAAGTTAGAACACAGAGTGTACAGCAATCTGCCATAATATATACTTGCCATGTCACTGAGCACCAAGCCCGCCCCAAGCACTGATGGTGTGCTCGGCTTGTCTTTGGAGCCGCCCACCAGATAGCAGCCAATCGTCTTGTCAGCCAGGTTGTACTTGTTGAGGTAGGACACGTGGCCGCCTGCCGACTTGTACTTGTCCATCTCCTCCAGGCTGTCATCCAGAAGGGAGGCCCAGCAGTAGGGGTCAGCGGGAGCAGCATTTCCTGGGCCCTGCTGCCGTGTTGTCCTGCTGTACTACCGCGGTGCCATCTTCAGCCGTGTCCAGAGTATTATGATTAGGCACCTGGGCACCCTGCTGGGCAGGGGTTGGCTCATCACCTGCAGGGTCATGCATGACATGAATGCCCAGGTCAAATTGTAGGCAAGCAGGAGGGATGATGGCATGTTGAGGAGCAACTGACATTTACCATGCATGCACATATACATAGAGCTTGGGTTCCTGTGTACATACACATGTGCTGGCTAGCGCTATTGCACATGGATTGACTAGGTGCAGGCAGCGGGAGGCATCACATGTCCTGTTGTCTCCATTTATACAAGCATGATGAGGCTAGCAAGTTCACAGTCACGCACCCTTCTCTTTCTGTGTCTTCTTAGCCATGTTGCGGAGGTTCTTCCATTTGTGGTGGAGTGACTTCATCAATTCTTCAGCAACATCCTCCTCGGTTGTGTTTGCCTTGGCCTTAATGCCTACCATGGTGGCGGCACCTTCAGTTCCGCCAAATTTATTAATAAGTTCTGCAATCCGAACCTTCACCTCCTGTGGATTGATAAAAGCATACAACATTACAGGAGGGTGTCTTAGGGTTAGCCCATGCAAATATTTCATCAGGATGTATGATGTGTGAAACAGGGGGGTGTATCTTCACCCATGGCAGCTACCCTGCAAAACCCTGCCTTCCCCGGTATTTCGGGGCACCCTCATCCAGTCACCCTAGTCAACTTCTCAGTGGATCACTCAGGTTCCGCACCCACCACCATTTCCAACGGAATCTACCGGGTTGACAGCGGCCCAACTCCATTCCTGGTCGGCTCGCAGGTTAACTTTACCCCAGGTCACCACCGTCCATCAACTAAGGGGGCAATGTCATCCACCATCGGAAGGACTTTAACCCTAACGGGTATCGATCCCGGGATCTCCCGGGGGCAATGGTCATGCCTTACCAGTGGTGCCAAACCCTCTATGGATGTTTGTTGTGATTAGTAAAGAATCCTGGACCATGACACCTTACCGGGATGTCCTTGAAGTTGGATGCAGACATGATGTCCGAGTGAAACTCCTTCTCAAGCAAGCCCGCCATCTCCTGTGCGGTATGTTTTGTCCTCTTGCTGCAGTCATTGCTTGCAG